CCTCTCAGGCAGTTGTAGGGAGCGATGAGGGCTCCCCTCAGCCCCCTCTGCTCCAGGCTGAACCCCCCCAGCTCCCCCAATAGCTCCCCAGCAGCCTGGGGCTCCAGACCCCTCCCCAGCTCCGCTGCCCTTCTCTGGACACGCTCCAGGGAAGAGTTCACAGAAGCCAGAGCATCACCAAAACGGCGGCACGCTCCCGTCCGTGAGGGCGAGCTGGGACGCCTTTGCCCAGCCTGAGCAACGGGCACACTCCGAAACCCAGAATCACAACTTTCTATGGATCGCGGTGGACTTCACAAATAAATACAGCATAGAAGTAACAGAGTCCTTTTTTAAAGAAATACCTGGAGATCCCAGCCTTTAATACAGTACCTGGGGTATTTCCAAAAGCCAGAAGGTCGAGTGCAAAGTATCCTTCCGGGAGAGTTCAGGTTTTTCCTTGCAACTGCCTCACTCCGGCTGCGACACCGGCATTTACGCGCTTTCGGAAGGCTCCGATTCGCAGGCAAAGCTAAAGCCGCACCACACCTGCAGAACTTAAACCACTATTTCCATCTCAGGGTTCATCTGGAGAGCCCAAAACTTAAGTATAGGTCTCCCTCCTTACAGAACTATGCAGCGTAGCCTGGGCTGGGATCCTTTTCCTATAAACTTGACCAGGCTTTTCTAGAGTAATAACAACAAAGACTCAAAAAAGATGGCAAGGGGGGGGAAGGAAAAGGCAGTATCCTGGTGACTTTATCTCTAGAAACGTCACAGAATAGCCTTCTGATATTAAGGAAAAATTAATTTATTCTATTCTTGCAGCATTTGCATGCATTTAATTACCAAATTTCCCACATACTGTGAAAGTATATAGCAGCGTTGGGGATGTGGTCTAATTGAATGGCACAGATAAATATGTAAGGCCTGAATTTAGAAACCAAAGTAGCTCAGGGACATCGCATGAAAAAGGGAAAGAAGGGAAGGCACAAATGAACGCTTGATTTGTACGCGCAATTACGCAACAGGCAACTGCAAGCAACCAACTCCTCTGCTAAGTGGCCACTTAAAACAAATAAATGAACCCAAAGCGACAAGAAACCCGAACCATCTCCCCCGCCGCGTGCTACGCAACCGCGCATCGCAGTGGTTTTGCAAAGATCCCGCCCGTTAACAAACCAAGGCGCGCTTTGATGCTGCACCGATGAACCAGGTGACACCCAGTTTGCTCCACGCCACCCGTCCTCGCGGTGTTCACACCGGGTGCAGGCTGTTCTGCTGGTGCAGTCACACGAAGCGATCGCTTCTGGTTCAGCGTTTGGTGCCTACAGGGCTGTTCCTCTCTTGGTATCAGCACGGAATAGCGACCTGGGCCTTTCGTTTCTTGGGAAGTTCTTGCCTGTCCTGACGTGTTTTCCCAGGAAATTATCCCGTATTAATATAATGGACAAAACCAGGATGCAAACTGAAAGGATGGGAATGGAATGTTTATTTAATTCCATCAATCGCAGCCATCCAGCAGCTTTCCCATCTTTGATAGCACAACGTTGCATGTTCTTACGATGACGAGCTTTGCAGCTCCAACAGCCAACCCTTAATCCTTACCTTTACTCAGCCTACAGACAGCACTCCCCAGGATATAGAGCTAGTTTTATTTAAAAAAACCCAACAAATCGTTTGGTTACACAGCCCCACCAAGGCCCCCAGGCTCCCGCGGAGCAGCCTGCACCCAACACGCGGGCAGCCCATTCTGCCAGCAAGGAGCAGCGGTTAAAACTGGAGGTGTTGGGAGCATTCCGGTTGTTATTGAAGCAAAAAAACCAATGAGAGCACCAAGGATTTCCACTTTCAAGATTAACTCTTCTTCTCAGTAGGAAGAAAAGAAAACCTCAATTAAAAAATAAAAATTCACGTGAGGATGCAATGCTATTCCTTAAGCATCAGCCAGCATTCACCATGGGAGGGGGTTCTCAGTGTTCACTGGAAGAACAGAACGAGTTTAGAGCGCATGAACATCTGCTAAAATAAAAAAAAACCAAACCAATATACCCCCCAAAGCCGCCACAGAGAACGAGGGCGCCAGCACGTCTGCTTCTGGGGGAATTCAGGCTCCAATCCACCTATTTCGGTAAAACTTTCCGCTG